AGCCCAAACAAAAGTAATGTGTCATTACGCGTAAAGATAGACCTAATTCTATCTAGTATCAAAATAGAGAAAAGTGGCATTTCTTTTAGGACAAACTAAATAGGGAACTGTGAGAGTAATAATAAATAAAGATAAACAATTCTATCCAAACTTAAATCACAAATCTCTAAGTTCTTAATTACTCTAGTTCCACACAAAAGCCAACACTATGATCCCAACATGCAATGCTCAATTACATAATTGTCCCATCTAAAACCTTAAACTGTGTCCCCTTCTTTGTACATACTCCCTCCCAATCCATTCTTACTACTTATCCTGTATTAACTTAGCATACCCCTTAAAAATCACCCTTCGAATATAATAAATTCAATACTCTAGTTAATAACAAGTGTAAATTACAAACTAAACAACTCTCGAAAACGACTATAGTTAACAAGTGTAAATTACAAACTAAACAACAAACTATCTCTTGATTTTGTAAACTAAGCTAGCAAAATCTAGATCAAAGCAAATTGGAAAACCCTATATCTTTCAAGAACTGCATGTCTACTAAGAACCCACTAAAAGAATCATCATCACTTAGATTATCATGCTCAAAAGTTCATAATTTTAAGTAAAAATTTAAATTTTACCTGCTGAGCAGGAGGATCCGATTTCTCTTCAATAATGCTCAGCAAATCATCTATATCCATACTTGGCCCATCAAAATTTAGATCAAAATCAACCGACGGATCTTCCGATGATAACCAATATTCTGACGCCTTGTCCGCCATCATCATCTCAACCAAAAAAAAACCCAAATCACACCTCAAAATCCTATAAATTCAATAAATCCATCACCAAGAAGACCTCCACACCGTTTTTCATCAAAAAAAAAAACCAATTCTTATCCGTTTTTTCCGATTCAAAAAACCCCAAAAACTACTGAAATCAAATCTATGGATTTTTTGCTCTTCCAAGAAGTTTCTGAGGAACGCGACTTTTCAATTTTTATATATATTTTTTTTTGAGGTTTTTGTAGGAATTTTGTTCGATAAGAAAGAAGAGGAAAGTGTTGAATAGGTTTTTTGAGACTTTTAATTTTTTATAATAATATTTATTTATTTGTTTCTTTAGAGGAATCCTAATGTGAATAGAAAAAAGTGTTTGTTAAAAAAAAAAAAAAAAAAAAACTAAGGCCGCGTATTTGTCAGTTCAACTTTAGCTGTCTCACTTATTTAGGTAAATAAAAAAATATTACTATTTCGTGTTCGATATATATATATCGAAATTATTAGAATGAGTGTACGATTTAATCAACATTATTGTCGTTTAATTAAAAAAAACAAAGTATGAATTGTGATTGTTTAAAATTGATTAGAAAAAAGTTATTCATTTATCAAAAGGTTTAATAATTTTGGTGATGATTTTTTAATTTTTCTTATTATTGATTTTTAATAATTTGAGGTGTTACTTAACGGGTTAATGAATAATCTGATAGTAAATTACTAAATTATATTTATATAATTTGGTATATAATGTTGACTATAAGGAGTGTTCTCTCTTATTTGTATAATGTATAATATAATAATGTCATTTATAGTTATGACACATTTATTATTTTATCTATTTTTTTTAGGTTAGTACTATTGTACTTTATTTATTTCAATGATCATTAAATATATAAAAAATAAAATAAAGATTTTAAAATAAGTGTAATTTATAATTATAAATATTTATAAAATTATAAATATCTCACTCAATATGAAAAAAATTCAAAAAAAAATATTAAAATATAGTTTTTTGTTTTATTATATTCTTTTGTATCCTTTTTATAGTGGAATCCCTAGTTAACATAATAATAAATGAGTAATTAATTACTTTTATTATCTTATGTAATTGAGTAAAAGTTAAGGGAAAGATAACATCGATTGTCATCCATTGGTGTTGAATGTATACATCTTTTATTTTATTTTATTTTATTAAAAAAACAAAAACAAAAAAACTTCAATGATCCAAAAAAAAAGTAAATTATTTTTAAATATCTCTCTTTATTAATTTTAAATAATTTCTTGTCATTGATCAATATGAATAATTTGCCTAATTTACTTAAAGACTTGCCTGTCTTGTGTGTGTAAAAATAAGAAAAATCATTGTGTTTTATTCTATGTTGATTGAAATGTTTGTCTAATTATATGATGCTGAATAAAATTAAATTGATCGATAAATTTTTAAAAAAATAAAATAATATTAAGAAAATATATAACTTTGTAACCATTTATTTTCTGGCTAAAAAAATAAATTAGAAAAATGAATTATTTAAAAAGTATAATCAATTACATTAATTTACTTCGATGCAAAAATCATAAAATCATTATTATAATTGAAACACATTTTTTCATAATAATATGTTCAAAGGGACTTTAATGGACCCAACGAATTACTTATCTGTCTATGAATATTTAATAATTTTTGGTCAAACTTTCTTTAATATTTTGTTAAATATTTATTTTTTCTTTCACTTTTATTGTCCTATCTATGAAATATATATTTATTTATTTTTTTCACTTTTAGTAATGTGAACTCATAATATTTTACCCTCAACAATAATTACTTAGTCTTTAAGTTAACTCTCAAAAATTTAAAATTTTATCAATTAATACGAATATTTTAATAAGATAATCGGGTCATATATTATTTTTTTAAGAAGTATTAACTTAAAGTAATTATAAAAATTTAGTATATTTCAAATATTAAATTGCCTTGCCTATCAGTTTAATACAATATTAATTATTGACTAAAGCACATGTTGGCATTGATCATGTTTTAATTAGTGGTTAAAATAATTCAGCCTCATGTAACTACTCCATTAATCACGTTGTCTAATATTTTTTAATCCAACAAAGAGACCTTTCTTTAACCTAACGCCAGCCCCCTTGCAAAGTGGTCGAAAATATATCGCGATTATTATATGAGTTGTTTGATTTATAGAATAATGTGAGAAATTTCACGATTAAAATTCAGATAAAATTTTTTTCTTTCTTTGAATGAATGTAGAATAACATTATAACTACAAATTTAAGTATGAATAGTCGCTTTATCTATCTAACTTTATATATACTTTTTTGTATCTTCATCTCAAAAAATATAAATTAAATCAAAAAATATTATAATTCAAATAATAACTTAGTCTACGAATCGAACGACCACACTAAGACGTTTGACATGTTACCCTTGTCATAGGCTTAAGTGAGTCAGTGGCGGAGTCAGAATTTTCACGAAGGATGTCTAAGTGCTAAAGTGAATATGTTCTTCTTTAAAAAGTGGGAGAGAAAAATTGCCAATAGTGAAATTCGAACACAAAAACACTTTAATCAAATTGTTATATCCTTACTCTTTCAGGTGCACTTGAAACCACTAGGCTACATCATATTATTGTGTCAAGGGTGTCAAAATATGTTATTTAACCACTTAATTTATGATTTTACTTGTATATACGGTATAATATTACACCCTGACACAAGTGTGGCTACGCCAATGAAGGGAGTGAGAAATCAAAACGCATGAGTTTGAATAAGTTCAAATCGAAGACACTGTTATTGTGAAGTTTCATCTTTGTAAAATTCAATTTTAAAACGTTTATCGATTTTCACTTTTATACAAATGTCATATATAAATAAATCTATTATGTATTAAATACCATCTATGGAATTAATATATATATATGTGTGTATATATATATATATTTTTCCTTTGGTACATTTGGAATTTAAATTACTCTATTATTTCATAGGCAACACCAATAAAATCATTCCATTATGAAATGATAGGTTAAATATTAATTAGTGTTATGAAAATGGTTATTTTGTATAATTTTTTTCCTCATTTTAAATTGGGTCATTTACTCTTCTGCTTATATTCTGTCTTTACAATTTATTTTTATTTTCATAATAAATATTTTTTGAGGGCATAAATTTATATTTTCTATCATAATATTTTAAGTCATATCTGGACATAATTTTAATATACTAAAACAACTTTTTAGATGATTGTTATATACATTATTTCATAATAATAGCATTATATCATTTGAATAAATTGTATTATATTGTGTTATATCATATTGTATCATTTTAATACATATACCATTTGAATAAATTGTATCATTTTCCATAAAAGTACAATTGAAGTTTTTTCATAAAAATACAATTACCTAACTTACATCACAAACATATACTCAAAACTCACATTACAAATATTTAGTTCAAAACACAATTCGGTATACTATAATATACATCTGGTATTGAACAATATACAAAAAAAGTTATATTCCTTTTTTATATTTTTACAAAAAATATTGATATACAATATGTATTCTATAATATAATATAATACTACATAAAATTATAAGAGGTATTTATACATGTATTATATACTACAATGATACACTATTATACAAAATAAAATTTCGATAAACTTTGCTAATTAATTTTTCTCAAAAGACAAAAATAAAATCTTCTGAAATTTTGTGGAGAGATAGATCTAGCGAATGTCTGTCCCACCCCCCAACCACCAATATGTGAGACACCGTGGATCACAATAACTTTATCTCATCAAGATCTATAATTTGACTCCGAATTTAAATTTACGGAGATCGAGACATAACATTTTAGATAAGCATTAAAAAAACTTAGCGCTATTATGTAAATTAATTATATAAGCCGTACGAAAATGTAACTATCCCTTAACAATTTGAAGGATAAACCTATCAGAGAAATACGATATAATATGAGTAAAAATAAAATATAATTACTATTAAATAATAAATAAATAAATTAAATTAAGATCATAACGCGATCACATCATACAAAATAAAACTTTTCGTAATTAATTATCAATAATTTTAATGATACCTTCCAAAATAAATATTATATTTAAACTAATAATATATACTAAAAACTTATCGAATAATTATCTAGTCTAAATAGACAAGCAATAACTCAAAGAAAAGGGCAAAAACATGGAATTGTATTTCACCTAAAATATATATTTACTCACATCGCTATAAATAAATAAATAAATTACTATTTTAGAACATTATATATTCAATTTCCCCTCCCGGTTAATTTATTCAACTTTATTTCCTCCAGTGAGACGGCGAAATCGGAACCGGTAAAAGGAACTCCGACGATTGCTCCGGTGGTGTTAATGGGTCTCAAGGCGTAGTTTTGAATACTGATGTCATTGTTCTGGATTGTGATTCGCGAATTAGCAGAAATCGAAGCCATGGTACTGTACTTCTCTTTTTTCATGATTTGTTTTTTTTTCCCTCTTCAATTAGGTCTTTTTGTTTTTGGAATTGTGTTAGTTCAGTAAATTTGTGTGAAGAAACGTCAAGGGTTGCATTAGGTTTAGTGAGATACAGAAATAGTTGTTAGCTTCATTCGTATTGCTTACTTGGACTAATTTAGGATTGAGGTGTAGTTGATCGATTGATTCGTGTGTAAAAGGTTTCGTCTTGTTGGTATATGTTTTGGTATTAGCCGTATCCTTCTAGTTTATTGCTGGTATCGGGCGCAACCATCAAGTGTCTTATCCTTCTAGTTTATTGCTGGTATAAGGCACGAAGAATCGTCAAGTGCCATATCCGTGTATTTTACTGCTGGTGCTGGTATCAGACGCCAAGCATCCTCAAGATTTGCATTAGGTTTAGTGAGGTATAGAAATAGTTGTTAGCTTCATTCATATTTCTTACTTGGACTAATTTAGGATTGAGGCGTAGTTGATTGATTCGTGTGTAATCAGTGGCAGACCCAGATTTTCGTCGAGGAGGTTAAAAAAAAAGCTAAATAGTGTTGACAAATAAGTTATACCAGATTTCAAGCTTCAACATTGAAAAATGTTGCTAGCCGGATTCGAACCCGCACGCCTACTAGTTTTTGAACCCCTATAGCCGCTGAACCAAGCCATTTACTCGTGTTGATGGGTTCAATATTAAATATATAGTCATATAATATAGATTTGGTCCTATATGCTCAATATAATTTTTCGATTCAGGAGTTTGTCGATTCAGGGGTTCGGGTGAACCCCCTGAAGTCCACGTAGATCCGCCCCTGTGTGTAATGGGTTTAGGCTTGGTGGTGTATGTTGTACTATTAGCCTTATTATTGTAGTTCTTATTTTTGAATCTAGCATCAAATGTTGTTTATTCTTTTTTGGTTATCACACTGTTATTTTGTTGTTATTGTTCCTTTTCTGAATGCTTTGCACTATTAGTTGCTAAGTTTTCTTCACTGCCGTGATGTTATCACGTTTCATAACTACTTGATTTGCTGTACTTGAGACGAGGGTTCTTCGGAAATAACCTCTCTACTTCCACAAGGTAGGGGATGTTGTTTTTGTTGTTGTGTGCGACAGGACAGTAGGTTTATGATCAAGGACATGGATCTGAAATTATGTTAATGCCTTTTTCTGGGATTTATGGTTTGTAAAAGCTTCATGATTAAGTTGTACTTAGATATTAGTATGTGCATATAAAAGACTCTGGGATATATAAGGAAATTCATGATATACTACTGAAACAACAACAACAATTATTGTTTGGCCTCACTACCAAGCTAGTTGTATGGACAAGCACAATCTACTTAGTAAAAGCACTTTCCACGTGAATTAACCAAATATAAATTAGTTATTTTCCTTCTTTCAAAAACTATTTTATTAAAAGTAATTCTAAAAATAAGCGATTTTTAGCCGCTTGCCCAAACAAGCTCCTAATTTTAATAGACAAGTTATTAAAGACAAATCTAAACATGGAATCCTATTCCACCTGAAACATATTTACTCACATTATTAGAAAAAATTACTACTTAAGAACATTCTGTATTCTAGCCCCTCTAGGTTAATTTAGTCAGCTTATTTCCTCTAGGAGACTGCAAAATCTAAACGGGAGAAGGAACTGAAGGCTAGTTTTTAGTACCCATGTCATCGTACTGGATTATGATTAGCGATATAGAGGAACTCGAAGACACGGTACTGTACTGTTCTTTTCGTGATTCAATTTTCCCCTGTCAATTAGGTCTTTTTGTTTTTTGGATTTTTATAAGTTCAGCAAAAAATTGCTGGTATTGGACACGAAGAAACGTCAAGGTTTGTATTAGGTTTATCGAGACATAAAAATAGTTGTTAGCTTCATTCACATTGCCTACTCGGACTAATTTAGGATTGAGGCATAGTTGATTGATTCGCGTGTAACAGGTTTGGGCTTAGTGTTTTTTGTCACAGTATTAGCCTTATTTTTGTACTTTCTTACCTTTGATATCTAGTATCATATGATGTTTATTGTGTTTTGGTTATCATACTATTTTTTCATTGTTGTTATTGTTCCTTTTCTGAATGCTCTGTATCTGCTTTCCTTATTGGTTGCTATATTTTCTTTATTGCCTTTTTTCCTTAACATCTCTCTGCCTCCATAGGTAGGGTAAGGTTTGCATACTCTCTACCCTCCCCAGACCCCACTTTGGAATTTCATTTGGTATAACGGGACAGTAGGTTTATGATCAAGGACATGGATCTGAAGTTATGTCTATGCCTTTTTAGTCATTTTCTATCACATAAAAGAAAAGAAAGGACACAACACTTTGTTGTGAAACTCCTAAAAGTAAAGCATACCAACCTGACTAAACCTTAACTCCAACTAGTTTGTATCAACTATATAGATCTTTTTTCTTATATTATGTTCTTCTTTCATCAAGTACAGATGGATTATAAGAAATTATAGGTTTTTCAAAACAACTTTCTTCCATGTTAATTTAGTTTGTCTCCTTTCTAACCCCTTCGATCACCATGAATTCATACTTATGGATTGGTGCATTAGAAGGTCATAATGGAACTCGAGGAAACTGTCTCAAGTGACTTTGTTCTCTATTTATCCTCCATGTGTTGCCACTTGTACCTTATATTGGACCATTTTGTATGACCGTACATCCAGTTTGCGTGTCTATGCGACACTCATCTTGTGGATGTATTGGACCTGTAAAGGCTACTATTCATTCTCTTGTAATGTAGTTAGTCTTACAATTGTTGTCCATTCCTTTTTTTTTCATTTTGGTAGGTGTCTTCCTATGGTATAACATTTAGTAACATTTCTCCATTTCAACTGACCTTTCTTATTAGATATGCATTCATGCCATTCTTCTGGATGCTGAGAGGGATGTGTGGGGATATTAGGAGTGATATGATTAAGAATGATGATATTTGGGACGGTGAGAGTGACATCCATAGTGGACAAATTGAGGGAGGAGAGACTGAGATGGTTAAAACATGTGAAGAGGAGATACATAGATGTCCCAGCTAGGAGTTGTGAGCAGTTGGCTATGGTGAGGCTGAGAAGAAGTAGAGGTAGGATGAAGAAGAATCGGGGAGAGTTGATTAGGCAGGACATGACACACTTGCAGCTCACTTAGGACATGACCCTAGATAGAAAGATATGAAGGACGGGATTAGGGTAGAATGTTAGTAGGTAAACCGAGTGTTGTCTAGTTTCTCGTATTAGTATTATTACTATTACTCTCCTACGATCTTATATTATTACCAGTTGTTTCCTGTGCTTCGGTTACCATATTATTTGTTTGTGCTACTATTCTTGTTTCTACTATTTTCTACTTGGATTCTTCACTACTTTATTTCCTTCATACTGTTTGTGCTATGCTTTACCTTTGCCGGGGGTCTGTCGGAAACAAACTCTCTACCTTCACAAGGTAGGGATAAGGCAGCATACTACCACCCTCCTGAGACCTCACTTATGGGGTTACGTTGAGTATGTTGATGTTTTTGCTGTTGTTGTTGTATACCATTCTTCTGGAACAACGAGCTGTGATCTTAAAAGGTTTAAGACCAGTGTGCATAGTCTGCAATGGTGCTTAAATTGAATTGGTGAGATGTGGAATGTACTTGATACTATTGGATATGGTAATGATAAGTCCTATTAAGTTGAGTTTTTGGTCCAATTATGTATATGAGTCAGATACTTACTTTTGAATGGCTTGCCAAAAGCTGCATATGGCTTAACTTGTTGATAATAGTTTCATTCATTGCTCATATAAGATTTTGCTACAACTAAACTTACAGGTTCTGGATGGTGCAGCGATACATTTATCTATTTTTATTTTTTTCCCTTTTCCCATTTGCAGGCAACATCAAAGAAAGTAATCACGAGAGAAGATTGGGAGAAAAGGCTCAATGATGTAAAAATTAGAAAAGAAGATATGAATAAGTTAGTGATGAACTTTTTGGTCACAGAGGGTTATGTTGAAGCAGCAGAAAAGTTCAGAAAAGAATCTGGAACAGATCGTATCCTTCTGTGATCTTCTTGGTTGCTCATTTCATATTATTATACGAATTTGTGTCGTTGCATATGTACATCTACTTGCTTCTCCTTATGAATGAATAGCTGATATAGATCTTGCTACTATCACTGATAGAATGGCGGTTAAAAAGGCAGTACAGGCTGGTAATGTAGAGGATGCAATTGAGAAGGTTAATGATTTGAATCCTGAGGTATGACTGCTATTTTTCCCATTTCAAACTGCTGTGATGTGTGTTACTTGATCTGAGGGTCTTTTGGGAACAACCTCTCTACATCCATGAGGTATAGGTAAGGTCTGCGTGTGGGATTTAACTGGTATGATGTTGTTGTTGAATGCCTTTTGTTCTTATCATTCAGAAGCAAATTCATCTTCGTCTTTCAGTCCTATTTGGGTAGAGTAAGTAAGTTGTGCCAAACACGCTTCATAATGTTGAAGTCACATTACATAGTAACATTCACAATAAAAAGATATGCTTTGAGTGAACTAGGTGTCTCTTTTATCCTTCTAGACTAGAAGAGAGGAAATGATATTGACTTTATGCAATATTCATAATTGAAATATTTATTTAAATGATCAAATCAGTGCTAAGGTACTTTTGGATGACTGTTTAATATCGTGTCTTACATTTAGAATAAGAAGAAATCATGTTATTGTGATTCGGTGCATTTTGTTCCAAAAGCAGGGAAGATATTCTCTCGAATTGCAGTCTGAATTGTTCAGGAGTTGCACTATATTGTGAATAGAGACACTGAAATCTAAGAGCAGTCTATTACGAGTCACATGTACAGTCAATTTCAGTTCAATAAAATCACCTACAACTGTTTTTAGTGTCAACTTCCCTACATTCCCCCCCCCCCCCCCGTCCATGGTTGGAGGTGGACAGTTCTTATCATTAAACTATCGCATATTTCTCACAGCTAATAAAATGATTGAAAAGAGGTATACATGCATTACGCAATGAAAACAGATGTCATTTAAACACGAGTATGAAAGCTCCTGATGATACTATTCTGTGCCAGTCCTTATATTAAGATTGAAGCAACCACTATTGGTGTTATTAATTTGCTACTCAACTTTCATGAATTTGGGCTTAGTTTTAGGTTCGATGAAAGTCTTAGTACATAAATATTTGGTTTCAAGAGTAGTTACTGTGCCCGCTGACCCTTTTCTTGAAGAAGTTTTTAATCTATCACTTATGTGCGTGTGTGTGTATATATATATCATCTTGAGCAAGGTGCTTTTTTGCACATTTTTGAAATTCGCAGCTACATCCAAAAGATACGAGTGGCTATATGTACAACACTTTTGTTTATTATGGTTAAAAAATACTTAGGAAATTTGAAGACTTTATCCTTATTTGGTATCTTGTTAGTTTGATTAGAACAAACTTATTATTGTCCAAAATGGTATCCTGATAGAGGTCTGAAAGTGTTCTCGAGATGTTACAAAAGTATGGCTTAAAGTCTTGTTGTGGAGTGCAAATATGCTAAACAAATGGACAAAGAGTACCTAGGTTTCTGTATATAGGAGAATTTAAATACTCAAAGTTGTGTGAGTTGCTGGCGAAGGGAACTAATGAGTTATAGATTATATCACGAAACATTGAAAAAAAATGATCGAGCATAGATGTAGGGATGCGATAAGGGTGATAGAACTAGGTTGGTAGGACTGCTATAGACACTAAATTTTCTAAGAAGATTAATAGAAGTTCTTGGGGGAGAAAATGAAGGATCTTCAAATTTATAGTTATTGACCTTGAAAAAACTTATATAGTGCAGAGGAAGGTCCTTTGGTGAAGCTTGGAAGAGAAACGAATGCCACGCAGAAATCAAGAAAAGGAAGGAATAACTATTAAATGCGTAAATGCCATAAAAGATGTATAAAAGAGCCATCATAAGTGTGAATGTGTGATAACAGTTGGAGGGAATATAGAGGAGTTTGCATCTCTTGTGCCGTGGGCTTACATCAGGATCTACTTGTTTATGTTAGTCTAGGGATTAGTTAAGTAATAGGTTCATGGTGTACAATATTATGTGAGTTGATGATATTAGCACAAGAGTCATTTAAAAGCTTGAAATGGAGAAACATTTTAGAGAGTAATGGTTTTAGAATAAGTAGAAGTAAATATAGAAGATATGCTTTTCAATTTTGTCCAATATAAAAATTAATGAGATTGACATTCAAATCCAAGCAGAGTAAAAAAAATACTAGGTGATTTTTTGTCATCTATCTAAGCCTTGGCGGGTAGAGTTATTGATACATGTTGGTGGGAGATAGCAAGTGTCCGTTTTAATAGTCGAGGCGTGTTCAAGGCTTCAAGCTAGCATGTACGCCATCATTACAAAAAGATAATGATATTGAGGTGAGACATAATGGGATTGCGGTTTCCAAATGCAAATGATCAAAATTGATTCTATATATTACATCTCATTGAATTCTGATTTCTCCTTTCAAAAAAATAGAAAAAGAAGAGTCAGGCATCCAGAGAGATGTAAATATAGAATCAAATATGATGATTATATGGTTTCAAATATGATGATTGAAATGTTAGAGTGCTATGGGGAGTGTTTCTGATAAGAAGCCAGGTATCCAGTAATATCTTTTCTTTTTTTGTTCTAGTCATCATGGGATCAAAGTAGAATTATTGGCAGAAATTAAAGGAACAGAAAGTTGTGGAAGAAAGGCCCTATGAACAGAACAGAGGTTTTGTATGCCATGAATTTAAGCAATTTTTGAACACAAGAAATGTTTTGTTTTCAGTATATTTGGAAAAAATATGCCCCCTATCAGCCTATCTGGTCAAAATTGTACAACAATACCCCGTGAAATCCCAAAAGTGGGGTCTGGGGAGGGTAGAATGTATGCAAACCTTTGGGGTGGCCCAGTAGTTTGAGCTGGGGATTTCCACGTTGGAGGTCTCAAGTTTGAAATTATTTGGCAGCGAAAGTAAGGGGTTTGCCTTCTGGGTCGAGCTCGTCGCACCTGGCTTGCCTAGTGCGGGTTACCTCTCCTATGTGGTGTGCGAGCTATTGCATAGGAGCGGGTGTTATATCCTATCCGCACCCAAAGGGAAGCGGCTGCAGGTTTTCCTTGTCATCATAAAAAAAATAAATAGATGTAACAATTCCATATACAAAGAAGAAAATATAGCTGGTCAAAATTGTAGGCCCCTCGATTTTCTTTTTTGCTGACAGCACATATATAAGCTTCTAATTGTTGTTTCTTATTGTTTCTGTGCTTTTTACTGGAAGATATGAAGAAACGGGATTTTGTATATTAAAATTTGAACTGAACGGTGAATCCATATCTTTCAAGGAAATAGTGCATGTAAAAGTCAAGTGATTCCTCTATCATCAGTTCTCTGTCTCTGAATCCATATCTTGCATGAGATGTTCACTATGTGAAACCTTCAACTTTCCTTCTCTACTAAGAATTTCAATTAGACAAAGAGGGACCATGACTTCACTTTCTACATGGACACGTATTTTCTAATTTGTATCATTATGCATCATAAAAACACCCCAGGCATTTCTTCAATGCCATTGCTTCTTCTGTATAGCCATTATCACTTATAATATATTCTGCTACCCTCTCTTTTATCTTTCCTTGTATTATTGTTATTGGGCAGCAGGTGTATTATACGTATGTATGCTTTGCCTTTGTGTTTCTCATAACCTTCTCTTTCATCATCTTAAAAGCTTACTGATCAAGAGATTCTTTATACTTGCGAATTGAAACTTAGCAAAATGAACGCCTGCCTATCGTGAATTGCAACTTGGGCTGCTACAAGAAATCTCTTAATATTTTTGGTTGATCTTAACATAGTTTTACCTTCTTTTGATGCAGATACTGGATACAAACCCCCAGCTCTTTTTCCACCTCCAGCAACAAAGGCTGATAGAGTTGATAAGGAATGGAAAGATTGAGGAGGCTTTGGAGTTTGCTCAAGAGGAGCTCGCTCCAAGGGGAGAAGAAAATGTAATTATTAATATATAAATCTTTTCTCTTGCTTTCCCAAATCTCCTTTTTTTAGGCAACGATAGACCTGCTCCTTTAGTAACATGTAGGTTGCGAGTTTGAGGCATGGACACAACACCCCGTAGCAGTTTCCCCTACTCAATTACTTACTAGGGAGATGCCTTTTTTTAGAGCAATACAAGCCTTTAATCTAAATGACTGTTTAATCTCGTAGACTATTTATTATAAATGTCCGGAGAATTTTGATGCGTGGATGCTAAAAAAACCTATGGTCTCTTAAAGATTGCTGAATTTCTAAGTGGTCTTTCCATGTCTCCACCCCTAAACTGCCAGCACCAGGGGTTCCTTTCTCTTGGTCGACCTCCCTAGGAGGGGAGGCTGACGAGGGTAATGGGACGTGGGAAAAATCTGCTTTTGTTTCTGAAGAATTGGCTTGAGATTGACACCATCTTTTACTCTGAAAAAAAAAGAAGAAGCTTTGGTTGGCGCTATCCCACGTGTAACCCACCTCTTTAGTACATGACGATTTTAATTTCTTTTCTGCAGCAAAGCTTCTTAGAAGAGTTGGAGAAGACTGTTGCATTGTTGGCCTTTGAAGACGTGTCCAACTGCCCTGTTGGAGAGCTCCTGGATGTATCACAGCGGCTAAAGACCGCTAGTGAGGTCAATGCTGCAATTCTCACCAGCCAAAGCCATGAAAAGGGTTAGTCTCCTTTCCATTAAAGTCTGGTGTGTTTGAAAAAGCTTTTGTCGATTTCATATTTGGGACACTCAAATCAAATCAAATCAAAGAACTTGTGTGATATATAACCTAATTAGGAATATTTATGTGTAGAAGATCATGGGGTGAAATGCCTCTTTTTTTAATTGATTATTCTTTGATTTAAACAGATCCAAAGCTTCCAAGCCTATTGAAGATGTTAATATGGGCACAGAATCAGCTTGGTGAAAAAGCTGTGTTTCCGCGCATAACTGATTTATCGACTGCTAAACTGGAAGATCCTCCTGTTTGAAAGATGACCAAAACTTGGCCAACTGCTTAAAGACAGTATCTTTTCAACTTTCAAAACCTATAGACGCGTTTGTTCTTGTCAAATTATGGATTCTTAGATTAATGTTGTGTTCGTTTATCGATCACAATGTACATGAAGATAGTTTGTACTTCTTATCGTGTCTAGGTTTCATAAAATTGGTTTGTGTTTGAACTTGTGGAGAACATACAAAGAAGGTAAGCTGTTAATCTCAAATCTGTCAATATAAATACACTAGACTCCCATTTCAGAATTCCAATCATAACATCTTGAATCTTTTCTTATGGGAAGGAGTTTTATTAGTTTATATACAGTATTTTTACTTAGGTGAAAGGATTCACATGAACTCTTTCGCTCCATCTTGTTTCGACACGGCTTTATGTTAGGTACAGTTGGTTAGAATTAAGTGTTAGTAGATATATCCAAGTGTGTTAGGAGTGCAACTCAGGTATAGTAAGCTTCAGATACCTAGCAGCACTGCTGCCTCTAGCTCTAGACACCTAGCAGCATTGGTACCAAAATAGTTGAGGCATACGCAAACTGATTTGACAACACTATAGTTGAGGCATATGCAAACTGACTCGACAACACTATAGTGTAGACATATGCAAACTGACTCTAGAACATTATCATACAAAAGAAAAAAGAGTGAGTCTAGTAATGCATCTTAATAGAAAAAACTCCAAACTAATCAAATGAAATGAGGTAACAAGTGAAATAACCAGAATTTCTAAATCTCCACCCATACTAGTACATGAACAAATGTAGCAGTACTACTTATCGAACAACTCTGAAGTGTAGAAGTTTGCTGATGAAATGACCTAGATACCCTTTCTCTGTCTCCCAAATCAAAGTTTCCATCATCAAAGTTGAGAGCATAACTTGAAGGATCATACTGGAATTTCACTCGTCTTTTGTTCTTCATTGCTAATTTCTTCATTACTTCTCTCATTCTCCCAAATAAACACTTGCATTGCTTCTTGCTATAGTCGTTTACACATAAAAAGCTTCTTACAAATCCACCCATGATAAAATCAAGAGAACACCTTCAATAACCTTAACCTCTATAGCCAAAATAAACTTGCAAGATTTGTGTTTTTGAACAAGTTGTCACATTATCATATTATCAATATCTATCAAGAACAAAGAAAAAAGGTTAAAAGGGTGTTTGAAAATGGCAATCTTGGACTTGATAAAGAACTTAGAAAAGCAACTGCCTCTAATAACTTAACCTCTATATCTAAAGTTAAGTTCCAAGGCTTGATCTTTTTGTGTTTTTGGTCAAGTTGCACACTTGTATGTTAGCCAAATCTATCAAGAACAAAGAAAAAGGACAAAAGGGTGTTTGAAAATGGCAATCCTGGACATGAGAAGGGACTAAAGAAGCAAAATTAACTAGCAAGATTTTATCTTTTTTGTGTTGTAATCAAGTTTTCTCATCTGTGTATAGCAAAAATCTATCAAGAACAGAGAAAATAGGCCAAAAGGGTGTTTGAAAATGGCAATCTTGGACATGAAAAGGAACTCATATTTGCATGTAGCAAAAATATGTATCAAGATAAAGTAAAAGGGCCAAAAAGGGTGTTTGAAAATGGTATTCTTGGAAATGAGGGTAAGAAATTTTTGGCTTATGTGAAGGACCTTTATATCATCAAAAGAAACTTAAGAAAAAATGTGATCTTTTTCTTTTTTTCTTTTTGTGGGGTTTGGTTGTATTCAATGGAAAGCAAAGAGAAACCGGAAATAAACATGAAAATGTAATGTTTTTGGGTCTTTTAAAGAAGCTGTGCCCTTACCACCTGCAGTATCTTCATAGTGTAACACTTTTTATTGCATTGGGAGACTCAAATTCCATGATCCATAGAAAGAAAAAGAGGATTCTTTTGAGTGGGGTTGGGTGGGGGGAGGGGTAAAAGGCTGTGGGGGTAGAGAGCCCACTACATGGTGATGGTGGTATCACTATCAAATATGTTGCATGGAAAATGGCTAAAATAAAGTGCTGCTAACTTATTAGAAATAACTCAAAAATGTACATATGGTGTATAAACAATACATTCAACCATTTTTAGTTTAAGGGTGTGTTTGTATGAAGAAAAATATTTTTGGCAAAGTGATTTTCGTACTTATTTTTTGGTTTTCGATTAGAAAGAATAGAATAGTCCCTAAAGCATTTATGTATAATTTGAGCAAATACTATGACAAGAAACACATATATTGACTCCTACTCTCGACCCCAATATCAACCCGATACACGACCCTAACCCTATCCTCGACTGACCTGATCGTCGATGCTAATCCTGACCTCGTTTAGAACTTGTTCCTCAACCTGACCTTGGGCTAACCCTAACACGAAACTTGACAATCGGCCCCAGCCACAATGTCGACTTACGACCTAATCCCGACTTGATAATCAAGACTCAAACTCGAGTTAGGACCCAACTTTGAATCTGAGTAGGGGTCGGGATCAGAGTCAGAGTTGGTTGAGTTTTGAGTTCCAAATCGAGGTCAAAGAGTCTAGTTGGGTTTCCAAGTCGATGTCAGTATCAATCTCACGGTTAAGAGTATGGTCCCGAGTAAGGGTCGGAGTTGAGAGTTGGATCTTAGGTCAGATTGAATGAGAGTTTTAAATCTTTACACTTTATATTGAAAAAAAAATACTTTTATTAAAATAAATCCAATTAAGTCCCTTTGAATAACATTTTCCGAAATACTTTTCGCCAACCCAAATATGAAACTAAAGTCCGTGATTTAATTCTTGGAAATTAGCCTGCAATGGAATAAGTGGAGGCTAAGACCCTCATTGATCCATCAAATCAAAAGTAGGTCTATTTTTGTTAAAACTCCAATTGTCTTCACCAAAAGGCAATCTTGTATAGGGTATAAAATTGTGTTTTTTTTCTTTATTGTCTTCATACACAAAGTTACTTTTAACTTTTTCTACATTTTTTCATCAAAATTCCATTCCATTTTGGCCCATCCTACCTCATGGGCCTATGTGAGTTAGTCCCCTATTTTGTCTTTGATATTGTCATCACTTGTAATTTACATACTTTAGGTTGAAATTTCATAAGATTGTCTTTGATATTGCGATGGTAACAGAGGCGAAATCAGGATTTGAATTCATAACTCGTCATAGTTTTTGAGTTTGTAATTAAATATTTGTATAGATTTAAAATATTTTTTTTAAGACAAATACATGATCTACCAAATATTATAGCTTCGCTCTTGGTGATGTGTACATGTTGAAGAAAAAAACCCTCAAGCGCGCGAGAAATGCACAAATAGGATGATTTGATGCAAATATTTATATTTTATCCGAGTTTCAAGATTTTCATTTAAAAAAAATTAAGTCTTAATTATCCGGAAAAACTAAAAAATCATGCTTCTCAATTGTTCACAAGTATTTTTTTGTCAAGTGGACATGACTCGATTACTATCTTAAATTTACCTATTTGTCAATTCATTATTAAATGTATTCGCGATTTTGTTCTCTTGGGCTTTAATCCAAAAGACGCCTTAATAATTGAATTCTAAATTTGTCATACGATACCTTCTAACTTTCATTTCGAATTTCGATATGAATTTTTTTAGAGACAAGCTTCATGGAGAATATAACTCCTCTTGTATTCAAACGTCGCAATGACAAAAATCTTATGGTGAAATAAAAGAATCGAAGCTAAATCAAATACAAACAAATAATATCATATCCAGTGTAATCGTCTAGTAAAAATGAAATGTACACAACATATAAAAGGTAAATAAATTATTTTTAATAGATAATCGACTCAAAAGGACAAAACAATATATATATATATATGTTGACAAATTGTAGATTCCCTTTGGATGGGTGCTTCTTACTTGCAATTGGCCATTGGACTGAGATTGGTCAGACTCACCAGCCCACTTTTAAAGAGATAAAAAAGGCTTATTAATTACAAGTCCAATGGTCAATTTTCAGCCCACTAAGAAAAATCTTCTCACAGAAATGGATTTATCTTCTTGTTATTTTCCTATGCAGCAGTAATATACTTTTTCTTGTGATTTCTTTTTTTTTTGGAGGAACTAGAAAGTTTGATATTATTTGGAGTCTTGACGTAACTAGAAAATCGATATCATATGATAAAGAGTTCACAAGTTTAAGATGTGAGGAAAATATTGAGCGGTGCTTGAGAATTACAGATAACAATCTATGATATTGCTTAATTACTCGATCACGTCAACTCAATAATTGGTCATTATACTTTAATTAGTTACACAAGCACATTACTACGGTTTGTTTTAATTGAATATCTAAAAACATAATAATGTGTTTCTGTTAGATATTTGTCGCTCAAAATTTGAAAATAAAGCTTATTCTAATATTAATTAATTGAAAATATGGTATCTCCTTTATTTAATTATTTTTTATATATATAAAAGCAGTCGTAAGATCTAATATTTGTTTCAGTTCATGTGATTTGATGTGCATAATTAAAAAATATAACAGATTTTATGTGGTCAAAATTTATTTATGTATTAGACACTCGAGAAGACGTGCAATTTTTTCTTCAGAATTTTACCTGAGAGTACTGTCTAATGAGAACATTTGAATAGCTTACTTTAAGAGCTCGTTTGGTTGCAGTTGAAGTTATTTCAAGATTAATTATCTAAGGAGTAGTTATCTCACTTTTGATATAGAATAAAAATAACATAACAATCTCGAGATAGTTAACTCTACAATTTTATCCCAACATATATGAATATACTCATTTTAAAATTAATTATAAAATTATTTATCTTTTATCTCTCGTACCAAACGAACCGTAACAAATTAAAAAATCAAAACTACTTTGAAAAAAAAATTTAACACATTACTTTAAACCTACTCAAATTAAGGGACCATTTTTTATCAAATATATATTATGTGAATATATTAATTAGACTTTTTCCTTGTCTTTGTTTATGAGTGCATAATATACGAAAGAAGATTTTTATTGTTTGTACTTTAATTAATTAAAAAAGAGTAAAGCAGCTTCTTTTTTTTCTTGATAATTGCAAAATATTTTAGTATAAATATAATATAAATTGTAAAGTGCTGAATTTATGCTTGGCTCGATGAGAATAGTGTAAGTGAGATTCTCACATGTAAATTGTAATAGTTTCAGACAGACTGATAATATTAGCAGATTTTACAGTATCTCATTTGGATTTGCTCTCTTCACCTTTTATTATTTTTTATTAATCGATCGATATTTATTGATTTGATTAATTAAATTCATGTAGTAT